GCGCCATGAAGACGAAAAAGAATGCCATGAAGTTGAAAGAACTGTCTGTCCTATGAAAGAAAGAGTGAACTGCATTGGGGTTGTGCACAATGACATGATTACAACTCAAAGACTGTTTTAAAACATCTCGGAAGCCACAACATTAATTGAACTCACTTGAAGGCCTTGTAGATGGGCCTAAACCAGCACACGTATGAGCATGGGGTGAACAGTATCAGCCACAGAATGGCCATCCCAAAATTGGTTGCCCCGCCCCCTCCGCACATCCATGCTAGACAGCCAATCAGGTTCACTGCTAGGGTGGCACTATTTACTGTGAGTGAAAAAAATATTAATTTAATTTAAAAACTCCTTTCATTCCGTTAGAACTAAATATCTTTTATATATAACATAGCATTTGTTTCACAATTTGATGTTGTAGGTGAATACATTACAAGGAAAGCTGAAATTACCACATCTACTGGAACAGGGCAGATACCAAAGCTATATGCTAAGTAATCGAAGTCAAAACTATAGTATGTTTTAGATACAAATACAAATGTGCATTTAACTCCACAAACACTTACTTTCTCAACTCCCAGACCCATTTCAAAATAGTTCCCAATTTGTGAGCCAACAACAAAAAAGGGATTTTGTAAATATCCTACATGTCAAAAGCAAATCTAATGCTTGTGATTCTCATTATAGCATAGTAAACGGGACAGCAACACAAGAGTAATATGACACCCCACATTTTGACTTGTGGACTGACAGTTCAAAATACAAAACCTGTCTGTACAAGTTTTCCTGTGTCTTTTTCTCTCAGTGTTTACAGTGAAAACAAAAGTGACACTGTAATGCAAATAAAGCCACATGATTGCAATCTACTCAGTGCACACACCACAATGAACATTAAACGATATGCACTGAGAATACTGCAAAAATATATATGCTGAAATATGAACGTACATATCCATAGGTAATACAGTCGTTTGCACATTGTACGCTGATGGTCTGGGATCTCGTTGAAGTCTTGGTAAAAACATGGTTTCAGTGGAATGAACCGTGGAAGAGGTGGGAAATTGTTTTCTGTGTGAAAAAAAAACACAAATTAATACTTAACTCATTGAGTTCTGGTTCACCAACAAAACTAGTACTATTTGGACATGTACCATGGTAGGACCATGCAGTACATTACAGTACCATGTAAATACCACGGTACTTGAATATGTTAACAATTCAGTTTGGATTACGAAAATTGTAAGCTCTCACCTGCCATGGAGATTCTTTTTTCAGATCACCAACGTCAAACTTTAATATTTAAAAACCTGTAAAAAAAAAAAAAAAAACACATTACAGACACACAGCAAATTCACATACTGAATGAAACACTGTAGAGAGTGTTCATAATACAACAGGTTATAACCTCATTAGTATATTCCAGTGTGAAAGGGAAGCTTATCCTCTGAAATCTATCTAAACTTTACTAAGTATAACCTGGTAACAATGAAATAGCTTGAGTAAACAACTTAGCACACAAGCTAGATCCCTAGTAAAGCAAATGATTCCTTATTCAGTATTACAACCATGACATCTATAAGCCTTAAGCAGCCTGCAAGACTGACCATGTTTACATGCACATTATTTTCAGAATGGTTTTTTATTTACTGATTTTTTAAAACTGCAGCTTCAAAATTCTTTTTCAGGTATTACTTTGTGTTTGTAGAACAAAAGGTAAAAATATATTTACCACAAAAAAAGTTATTTTATAAATCCAAAGCTTACAAATCTTAAAACAATTTCTAAAAGCCCACAGGAAATTTCCAAGTTTGCCTCCAAACTGACGTGGGATCGACTGAACCTAGCTTTATTTTTTTTACACCTAAAATGACTTATGTTTAGAGATTCACATAATATATATTAATTCACTGTAAATATTCCAAACAAGATTCATATTCCAAGTTTAGATTACTAACATTTTTAGAAAACTTTACAAATACTGGTTTAATTTGTTCATGGCAATCAGGGTATTTGCATGATGCTAAAGTAAAACAGTAATATAACTATATTTCCGAACATATAAACCTAGTGATTGCACACTGAAACGGTGGATTGTTATTATCATAACCTCTGATTTGATCCTTAAAATGTATAAGGAATACCGGTTAATGAGGCCTGGTAACGGAATCATACATTATTTCATGGTATACATGACCACATACAACTGTCAAGACGACACGATTAGAGTAAACAGAATGAAGAATGATTCGAACAATTCGAACCTTGGTAGCGGTTATTATAAATCGATTATTTGTAGCGAATATTCACCAACATTTATACGTAGCGGCTATATTTTTAACCAATTATATATCATGCAGCGTTTATACGTAACGATTATTATCAACCGTTTATTTGTAGCGATTATTATCAACGATTGCTGGTCGGTTTTTCTCGCTCGGATCGAGCCAAACCCGGTTGCAATGTGAAGGGCATGTCGCCGGGGTGGTTCACAGATATGAAACGATAATCTAGTTGCCATAACGTTATAGGCTATTCCATTCATCCAAATGGGAGGTATCATTATAAAACGCAAGATGAGATTTGGAAGAGAAAACAAAAGCAAAAGAATATGTAGCAAAAGCATTTCACTGATTTCAGAGCGGTATCGAGGTCGAGCAGAGCGCCCTTCAAGGGAAAAGATGGTGCTGAACAGGGAGGTGTTTTATTCAACCGTGCAAGCGAAGATTGCAGGCATTTCTGATTTCACCTGCATGTAAGACACAATACATCTGTTCTGAGTACATAAATGTGAAAAAATCGGTGGAAACCGTTCGCCTTACCTTCTCTCGTCCACTCGCATCTAAAAAACCACTTTCCATTCAGTGATCGATGCACTTGTGATGTGGATGTTTTCCAAATCCGTTATCTTACTTAGGAGATGATATTGGGAATATGGGAGTGAAAACAACCACGTCACGGTACTCCTACACACGCACGCGCGTCGATGAGCATCCGTTCCGCGAGGGATGAGCGCGTGCGATGCTGAATAAATCAGGCCTCGAGACTCGCGATACTTCGTTCCTTCGCTCCGACGCGAGGCCGCTCTCCGCGGTCCTGAAGCATGTTTATTAAAGGAAGAAAATGAGATAGATAAAGGTACTACCAGTAATTCCTGGCGTGCAGTCGTGTGACATGTGTACACATTATCCATGGTGACTGAAGAAAAAGGAAGTGAATAGTGACTAGGCAAGATAATAAGGTTAATAGGTAATTCCTAGTTAAATAAATAATAATCATAATAATAATACAAAGAAACGGCACGTAACACATTGAATACAACTTAAAAATTTGAAAAAAGCTGAAAAACTATTTTATTGTAAAAAAAAAAAGAAGTGCTGCAATACTCTGTATTTACAACATCGAAAGTTTACAGCGTCATTTACAGTGAAATGATCACACAGTTCATAACATAAATTTGAGTAACAGACGCATACATTAGGAGGGAAAAAACTGAGAATGATGACAAAACATATGAAAGATATATAATTTCTAGTTCTTAAAAAGATAATTTTTGCACGGGAGTCTTACACAGGAAAAGTCTCGCTTAGAATAGAAGCTTACAACTTACAGTAATGTGTAGCTGTATTTGTATATAAATATCACAGTAATTTAAATATTACAGTAATTTGTGTATATATAATTTATTACTATTTTCTATACATTTATCACCTTTTATACAAACAGATTGTTATCGCAACTTAAAGTAATTTGTATGTTTTATATAAATAAAATATTACAGTACTTACAGTAATTTGTGTGCATGTATTATATGATATTACTGCATATTATATATTATATTTCTATATATTTAATACATTTATAAATTGTATACATACAAACATTGTTATTACATTACCTACTGATATTTGTGTGTATACAGGTGCATCTCAATAAATTAGAATGTCGTGGAAAAGTTCATTTATTTCAGTAATTCAACTCAAATTGTGAAACTCGTGTATTAAATAAATTCAATGCACACAGACTGAAGTAGTTTAAGTCTTTGGTTCTTTTAATTGTGATGATTTTGGCTCACATTTAACAAAAACCCACCAATTCACTATCCCAACAAATTAGAATACTCCATAAGACCAATAAAAAAAAACATTTTTAATGAATTGTTGGCCTTCTGGAAAGTATGCTCATTTACTGTACATGTACTCAATACCTGAAATAAATGAACTTTTCCACGACATTCTGATTTATTGAGATGCACCTGTATATGTACACACACACACACACACACACATAAATTATAATTATATGATATTACAAATATATATATTACATTACTTACAGTAAGTTGTATATATATATATATATATATATATATGCAATATTATATCATATTTCTCTCTATATTTAATAAATGTGTCACCTTTTATACGTAGAGAATGTTATTACTTACAGTAATTTCTACACTGGGGTCCAAAGGAATGTTTCAAATTTATTTATTTATTTATTTTACTTAATAATAATAATAACATATAAGATAGTTTCATCATTGTATAATTGTCGAGCAAAATGTATTCTTCATTATTTCCTGTGTAGATTCTGGGCCAATTATCTTTTTTTTCTGAATCCTATCCCTCAGCAAAACATTGACCTGATTTTTTCATATATAATTGATCTCTAAAATTCCTCTGGCAATAATATTAAGTGCTCTGTAACGTTACAGCGAATGAAAACAACAGCACTCAGCCACTGCTGGAAACACAGCGCTTGACCTAAGATGCTTCTTACATCATCTCAAGTAGGACTAGCAAAAGAGAAAGACAGACAGGTAGGTAGGCTACTGTAGATTTGAGATAAAGACAATACATGTGTTAATCCTTATCACACATAAATTACAATAAATATTGTTTGAATATTTAGGAAGGCTGTGGCATTACAAAAACTAGAGAATATACGCGGTCCTTCTTCACGAATGACTGTCCCATTTCTGCGTAGCTGAGTCTATACAGTGATTGTTTCCATTGGCTCTCACTGTATGGCGCCCTCTGCCGGTGGAATATGGCGCGTGCGCAGCGGCAGTTGGACACGTTTAGCTTCCGGTGGCTCACTGTCAGATGCCTGAGCTTCAGGTAAAATACATAAATGTATGGCAAATGTTTGATATTTTATAATGTACAAGTAGCGTGATGAGTACTCTGTTTTCAAATAATTTACTCTGTTTTCAAATAATTTGTGTGTTGAAGCTTGAGTGAGTTACTTCAGTGAGACAGTAGCTGAGCTAACCGGCTAAGTTAACATGTAAACAAACACAGCAGTGCTAAACAAAGCGACTATTAAACGAACTATTGCATTAAATCAGTCAGATATTCGAGGACCTAGTCTGAGATCAAATGATAAATAAGTTTATATTATGGGTTTAGGGTTCGCCAGCTGATATGAACCCAGTTAGCAGCTACTCTGCAAAGCTATCAGTCTCACTGAAAAGTTATTAAATGTTTTACATTTTACGTACATCTACTGAAATCATATTATATTATATATTAATTATTTAACAAACTTCATTTTTAGAGCTAACACAAGAAGATGGCAAGTATACACACTTATTTAATGGAAATATTGTAATGACTTTATAAATATATTTGTCATATAATGATAATACAAAGTATTATCTATCTATCCATGGTAAAAATAAAAATTAAATTAAATTATGAATATAATTTAAAATATGACATGTAATTTTTTCAATATATAATCTAAATATTAAATGTGTATATATAAAAATGTAAAATAAAATTAATGTAAAATAAATATATACATTTATAAATATATGATATAATGATTATAAAATAAATGTAAATTAATATTTAAATAATAATCTTTCAAGCTATATATATTGTATATACATGTACACAATATAATTTTGACGCTACTACTCACATTCTACATGTTTTACCTCAATGAACAGCACTTATTATAATATATAATAAATATAATAATAATAATAATAAATAAAATATAATAATCTAATAAATGACTATATATATATATATATATATATATA